TTCTGACAGCAGTAGTGCAAGTGGTCTTCTGGTTTATAGCCATGGTGTCTTAATGTGAAAATGGCTTACAGAGTCTCATTTTGACCTGCCAATTTTACTCTTATCCTGAGGCAAGGTAAAAATACCATTTTAAAGTTGACAGCAATGGAGCCAGAAAAATTTGTTTAGCTCTTACAAGTGTACCCTAGGAAAAGGAGACTTACTGGAGAGGAGTTTTGTAGCTTTAAAATGTTGTCCCAAGAAGAAGTATTCTGTTGAGTGATACTATCTGTATTCAGTGGTCTTGGGAAAAGAAAATGGGCATTAAAGCTGTGTTGTAAAACATGAAAAACATGTAAAACATGTATGCCAATGAACTCTTCACCAAGGCTCTGAAATATTTTGCAACCAAGGGAAGCGGTTCTGCATTATATGAGTTCCTTATCTGGAGGCATTGATATATAGAGGGATTAGGAAGTAGCACTTGACCTCTTTGTCTCAGTTCGTGACATGCTGTGCATAAGAAACTGTTGCAGTTACGTGCCTCTTTTGGAAGTGTGAAATTTAATAGCTTTTTTGAAAAACAAAAAGAATAGGTGGTGCCCAGTGAACATACTTCATTGTCTTTGTACCCAAAGTAACAATATCCTCTATATTTCATATATTACAGGAGGCCCTAGGTCTCTGAAATAGCCTTGTTTTTCTGTTCTATGTTGAAATATTTATTTAAGGAATACAAAATGTTTGTTCAAAATTTTCAGGTATGTAAAATAGGACTTATTCCTTGTTTACAAGGAGCAAACAGGCCAGTGGAACAAATTTTCAGTGTAATGAATGGAGCATTGAATGAGAGAAAAATCAAATACGAGTAGACAAGTAAGACCCCATGCACAAACACAAGTTTTGTTTTCTTTTTTAATACTTAAAAAAAAAAAAAAACAGACCTGGGGGTAATACATAGATATGTCAAAGTTTTGTAAAATTTTGACATATCTATTTTCTGCCCAATGGGAACAGCAGTGAAGTTTTTTGCCATAAGCTAGTTTGAGAGCTAGCTACTGAAAATTCTCCAGTTAAGGAAAAAACTTAGTAATTTCAGAGTATGAAGCTGGCGCCTGGGAAGTGAGCATGGTGTTTTTAATGAAGTGCAATTTTTGTCTTTTATGTGACTGTTTCATGACCTTTAAAAAATAATCAGAAATATCCTTGACTTTTGATTTTTGAAAAATGGTGATTGTAATTACAGGGCTCTTGTCTATTGCGTTTTTTCTTGTATGTGTGATGAAAGAACTCTACTTGCTTAAACAACAGGGGAGTAATTATATTTCCATCTATTTGCAAAACCCTTAATACTGTACTGGGTGCTGCTACAATGTGGACTTAGTGACAATTTGGCCTTAGTAGGCCAGTAAGGAAATGACTGTGCAATTCACTGAGCCGTTTTACGGAGATTATCTTAAACAGTAGCTTTGAACTGAGGGGTTTATTTAATACTCTTCAGTAGCTTAATGCCTAGCTTCATACATAAGCTGCTGCAAAATTCTTTCTTTAAGAAGAATGTATTTCACAAATTGTAATTGCTGCTGTGTTCTCACATACACAAATCTAAAAGAACTGCCCTGAACCTGAAGTGTCCTTAGTTCTGCCAAAGTTCACATAATGGTTTGGATAAAGTGCTGTGGCTCAAATCCACTTCTGATTTTTTCCCACTGTTGGTTTCTGGGTTGCTGCTTTAAATCTGAAAAGCACTTCTGTAATTACTTTGTGCAGAAGCATTCATGAGAACAATAAGAAGAAACTTATTATTGTACTAGTCTTTTTTTATGTCAGGTCTCTTCCTTTTTTGTATAACTTAAGAATTATTGACTTACAGTTGTTCTATGAGTGTCTTCAGCAGTTTTGGGTTGATTTCTCAATCTGTAAAACCAATCATGCTAATTACATACTGTTCACTGCCTTTTTACAGTGTAAAGTGTTATCCTAAATAAATAACAAGCCACAGTTGTGGCTTCTGGAATCTTGCAGAAGCAGAGCAGCCTACTCTAACAAAAAAAAAGTCAAGATCAGCTATTTACTTTTATCCAAAGATTTTTTTAAAGGGCAGAATCTTCTTCCTTGTAATTTAAACAATTTTCAGGATTTTTTTCCAAGTCAGTTCCTCAAACTTTAAGAAAAAAAAAAAAAGTACTGCCTATCCATGTAACTGGCAATGCCCAATAACAGGAAAGCTCAGAACAAGAGTTGATTGAGGAATGGTAAGTATTTTTTCTTCCAAGTATTTTTTGTTATATTTGCAGTTAAGCATAAAACCAAATACAATGATGAAGAGGGAACATGACAACAGGGCGTCTTTCGCTCATTTCTGTCAACCTCCTTTACTTCAGTGTATCTCTGAGGTTGAGATGGAATTATCAGCATGTTTTTGCTTTCTGTGAATTAGATTACTTTGTGGAAATGGATAAAATTAGGGAAAAGTGAAAGAGGTGTTAAGGCTTTTGCTCACTTTATAAAACTGCAAATACAAGTATGGGTAAAAAAAGTCTACAAGCTTCTGTTTTCCACTTCTGCCCTTTCTTTCCTGTTCCAATGGTCTCTTACTTTTGTAAATGGAACTGATACAAGGGAAGGCTAAGGGCAGTTACTGCTACCTCTGTCCCATGTACCTTTCTTCCAGATATTGTTTGCCCTGTGCATCTGTTGGCCACAGAGATGGAGGCAAGCCTAACTTTTCTGGCATGGACTCCTCCCTCCAACAAATTTTCACTGTGTAACTTTACATTTTAGGTTACTGCCCACTTTGATGCCTAGTACCACTTTTGCCCATAACATGTGACAAAAAATAGTTGCTAGAAATTGCAAGCTTCAAGTCTCTTTATTTCAAAAGATAAAAAACCCCAACAATTCCAGGTGAAGTAGGTTGACCCTGACTGGATGTCAGGCAGCCACCGAAGTTGCTCTCTCCCCTCCACAATGGGACAGGGGAGAAAATATAACAAAGGGTCCATGAGCTGAGATAAGGTCCAGAAGAGATCACTCACTGATCACCATCACAGGCAAAACAGACTCAGCTTGGGAATATTAACTAAATTTTTTACTAACAAAATCAGAGCAGGATAACGAGAAATTAAATAAACCTTAAAACCACTTTCCCTCATCATTCCTCCCTTCCAAGCTCTACCTCCTCCCCCTCAAGCAGCACAGGTAGACCAGGAATGGGGGTTATGGTCAGTTCATCACAAGTTCCTGCTGCTGCTCAGGGAGAAGAGTCCTTCTCTTGCTCTGGCGTGGGGTCCTTCCCATGGGAGACAGATCTCCATGATGTTCGTCAATGTGAGTCCTTCCCACGGACAACAGTTCTTCACAAACTGCTGCACTGTGGGTCACTTTTCTACAGAGTGCAGTCCTTCAGGCACAGGCTGCTCCAACATAGGTCCCCCACAGGACCACAGTCCTACCAGGAAAACCTGCTCCAGTGTGGGCTCTTCTGTCTGTGGGTCAGCAGGTCCTTGCCAGGACCCTGCTCCAAAATGGGTTTCCCACAGAGTAACAGCCTCCTTCAGGTATCCACCTATTCCAGCTTGAATCTCCTCCACAGGCTGCAGGTGGATCTCTGCATCCCTGTGATCTCCCATGGGCTGTAGGGGCACAGCTGCCTCACCGTGGTCTGCACCGTGGGCTGCAGGGGAACCTCAGCTCTGCTGCCTGGAGCACCTCCTGCCCTTCCTTCTACACTGACCTTGGTCTACAGAGTTGTTCCTCTCACATATTCTCACTCCACTGTTCTCTGGCTGAAATAACATCTGCACAACAATTTATTTTTCCTTCTTAAATATGTTATCACAGAGGCATTACAACCATTTCTGATTGGCTCGGCTTTGGCCAGTGGCATGTTCATCTTGGAGCCAGCTGGCATTGGCTCTGCTGGACATGGAGGAAGCTTCTAGCAGCTTCTCACAGAAGCCACTCCAGTAGGCCCCCCCACCACTACCAGAAGCTGGCCACACAAACCCAATATACTAGGCTATTCTCATATTTAGTTTAAATACCGACAACATTCTATTTTCTAATCTTGCATTGTAATAAGAGACTTTGCTCTGCAGCTTTTTCCAGTTAAGCTTGCTCACAGTCAGAAATTTTGCCTCACTAAAAGCTATGCCAACATTCTAGTGCTGTGTAAAGATGCTCCAAGCTGGGACTTGAAATCCAGTTCCCTCTGAGCCCTGAGGAAATTAGACTTAGCCCGAATCCAGGCTGGACCTGTAGATATGATGGGTAGGTGTACTAAGCCAAAGAAATTGTAAATTGAACACTTTTCTCTGTGGTCGATCTCTAAATATCAAGATTTGTATTTCCTGTGGAACGTTTTTTTGGTTGAGGCTTTTAATTATGAAAGAATTGTGGTCAGAAGACATGGAGCATTCTTGCACATGAGAAACCTAATGTAAGAGAAGTCCTTTTCCCACAATTTTGCAATTAGAAGACATTGTCACCACATTACAATTAGAGAACACCTTGATGCAGTCGTATTAAGAAAAAAGACTTGCTATTGACCATCCCTTTCTAACAGCTCTGCAGTGAATACTGGTTCCAGGTTCTACACAGGTAAGTTTCAGAAGAAAAGTTTTCTTTTGAACAAAAGGAATGTGGAGAAAGACACAATGGGACAGAAATCTCTAGACCTCTGCTGTCCCAAGGAATAGCCTGTGTGAAACTAAAGTGACATGAAGCTAAAAAGCTGATTGCTTGATCAGTGCAACAAGGGGAAACTACCAGGTGATACACACCAGTGGTTTGTGGAGGGAGGGGGGAGGCTTTCAAAGTCTAAGGATAGTGCTTGACGCATGTTTTATGTGAATGTTATTGCTGTTAGCATAAAATGATTTCATTCTGTCTGTCTTCCTTCTCTTCTGGACTTGGCCGGGCCATGTACCAATCCCAATCATTCAACTGTACTGGAGAGTAGATAGTATTTACCTCAATAATGGTAGTTTCTTTTCGGTTCTTTTTAACCCTCAATTCAGATGATGGTTCGAAGCCAACGCCTACCATGGAAACCCAGCCTATTTTCGACGGAGAAGGTAAGAACATCACTTAAAATAACAACCAAAAAAGCTACTTCTCTCTCCCTTTACCCTGGGATTTATGGCTTAAATGCTTTCTTTATCCTGCAAAGCAGAAAAGCCAGTGAATCTAAGTTATCCAAATTTCACAGTGCCCTTGGGACCTCAGGCATTTCCCTAATCCTTTTACATCCTCCCTACTCTTCTGGAATCCAACAATAACACCAGTTGACCAGATTCTTGGCATCATCTTGGGAGTAAAAAGTGTCAGAGCAAGTAAAAAAAAGGTGCATCAAGTCAGAAATGACAACTTCCTGTAGACTGTCCTTACCCCTTTACTATCTACACCCTCATGATTCTGGGAGTTTCATAACCTCTGCAATGTGTTACAGCTTCACAAAAGGAAGGGTAATGCTAAACCGCAGCTTGTGAATGTTGACTTGCATGAAAATTGCTGGGAGGTTTCTTTATTTAGCAATTGCTTTCATTGACGCACACACTATTTAAGCAAATGAAGTCATTGTCCTGGGCCCACTTAATTCATGGCCCACCCAGGCAGTTTCCTTCTCAAATGGGCAATCTTGCAATTGTGTTATTTTGGATAGAGAATTTCGGACTTCAGTCTACTGGAAGCCTTTAAACAAGGATAAAACGGCTGTCATCACAGAGGGTTCAGGCCTTTTGCACATACAAACATAAATACCAGTGGGGATAGTGGTCCTTTGGTAATGAATGGGCCTAGTAGCAACTGCTTATATCTTGCATATTGCTTAGAAGTAGTGCATGTTTTCTACAGTTTTAAACCCACAGCCATTATAGTAAAGCTACGGGCCAAAGCATGAACCACTCTGTGACATATCTGAAACTGGGGATCATAAGGCAGTGAGGGAAAGCCGATGCATTTCATAGTGGTCTGCTGTACTTCACAGGTTTTTTTCTAAATCAGGTCAAAGTCAGAAATGGAGGCTACTGAACCAAAGTAGGTGGTACTGTACTGTTGATATTTCATGCCTTCTTGTAAAAATAGGTGATGGGGTGGGGTTTTATTGTTGCTAAAATAACTTATTTAATGGAAAGATGCTGTAGTCCTATCACTTTCATTTAGTGATCGTAGATTTGTAAGAATCTTCTTGTAAGCTTTAAGAAACAGCAAAGCCCTCAGAGCAAAAAGCATTTTCAAATAAACAAAGGAGACTGAAACCATGCTGACTATGTCTTGTTTATATCAAAAGAAAGTTCCTCCTGGCAGCAAGCTGATACTGTATTAAATTACTGTTTGTAATCACAAACTTCTGACCTTTAAGTCTTCCCCTGAGAGGATGCTCATAGATATTCAAAGGAAAGAATGGACTAGTAGAATGCAGAAATGAGATTGTGATTAATACAGCCTTTTCAGAAGCTCCTTCTGGGAGAGGTTCAACATTTTTGTCATTCAGATAGAACTGGGCAAAGTTCTTGAAGTGGTATACTGAACAGACCTTTTCTGGTCCTTCTGGGGACAGGCAGAGTCAAAAAAAAGTGTTATCCTCTCTTCTATGAAAAACATTTTCAACCAAAAACCTTCACATTGATTTGTAGGTAAACTCAAGTCTGATAAATGGGCTTGGACTGTGTGATGAAAGATTGCCTCTCACAAATGTTGCAATGTATTATGCAAAACCTTATCTCCTAGACTTTGAGTGAGAATGACTAATGCAATGGCTTCCTGTTGTATTAGCAGTGTCCCTTATGGAACACGGAGAAAAGACTGATAGACAGGTTAATCAAGCTATGCATCGATGAATAACCTCTTCTAAGTTTGTCACTCTGTATTTTTGTCATCTCTACTAGTAAAATAGGACTAACTAGATTTCACTGGTGGTTGTAACAATAAGAACAAGAAAACCTATTCTGTGTCTGACCAAAGGTTTTTGTAATCCACTACTTTTTGAGTATGCTGCCTCCAACAGTCTGTTGAAGTGGGTAGACCAGGAAGAGTAAGAAGCATTTGTCTTTAAAAGTGACCTAATAACAGCCTTCCAGTATCGCCAGGGAAATTTATCAAGAAGATGGAGCCAGGCTCTTCATAATAATGCATGGTGAGAGACAACAGTCCCAAGTTGAAACAAAATGGTTGGACTGAATATAAGGAAAAACTTTGTTACCATGAGGACAATGAGGTAGTGGAACAGATGGCCCAGAGAAGTGATATTCTGTGCTTCCTTTCTGAGCCAGCTGGATAAAGCACAGGGGCAGGTTGGGTCTGGCAACTGTGTCCTGGGATGCATCAGTCAAAGCATCACCAGCCAGTCCAGATGATTGTCCTGATCTGCTCTGCACTGGTGTGGCCTCATCTTGAATATTGTGGCAGTTTTGGGCACCACAATATAAGAAAGATATTAAGTTGCTAGAGAGCATCCAAAGGAGGGCAACAAAGATGGTGAAGGGCCTTGAGGGAAAGCTGCATGAGGAGAGGCTGAGGTCACTTGGTCTGTTCAGCCTGGAAGAGACTGAAGGGAGACCTCATTGCAGTCTACAACTTCCCCAGGAGGGAAAGAGAAGGGGTGGGGACTGATCTCTTCTCTATGGTGGCCAAGAATGGTACCAGAGGGAACAAGATGAAGCTGTGTCAGGGCAGGTTTAGTTTGGATATTAGGAAAAGGTTCTTCACCCAGAGGGTGGTTGGACACTGGAACAGGCTCCCCTGGGAAGTGGTCACAGCACCAGCCTGCCAGAGTTCAAGAAGCTTTTGGACAATGCTCTCAGGCACATGATGTTTTTCTTGAGGCTGTCCTGTGTGGGGCCAGGAGTTGGATTTAATTCTTGTGGGTTCCATCCAGCTCAGGATATTCTACGATTCTAAAATCCTAAGCAACTTAGTCTGTTCTTCTAGCTGACCCTGTCTGGATCAGAAGGTGGACTAGACACCTCAGGATGTCATCCTGAACAATCCCTTGATTCTATCTGAGCAAATATGTTGCAATACTTCACTAGAATACTCTCCCAATGCCTTGGTTAGGTCTTCCTGAGGAATGGCTTGTACTTCAAGTCTGACACAAATGGCAGATGACAGAGAAGGGCAAAAGAGTTATCCATTCACCTGTTGGGTCTAGAATCTTCACAGATGTTCAAAGGAGTTGAAGTCCAGAAGCCATTCCATTTCATTGGGTTTGAGAACTGATGGGTTCTTGTAAACCTGTATATTGAAAGTCAGGCAGTCAGGGTGGACCTGATAGCAACATGAATGGACAATAAAAATGGGATTTTTTTTTTTCATGTTTTGCCTTTGGTTGCCCACCTTCAATACACAAGGGGCTGACTTTTTTCAAAAGGCATTAAATACAATCAGCTTCCCCTGAACTGTGTGATACCTCTTGGACCCCAGCATCTCCAAGATAAAGGTTCGCCTTTCTCATCTTTTCACCTACATTAGAGGATAATGAAAATTCATATTTCAGGCATAAGTTCTCCTCCCACTTCATATGATTCTTCCTGAGGGCATAAGAGAGCAGTGCCAGAGATAATGTAAATCAGGTAACCTAAACTCTGCTGTCCAAGGTTTAAATCATAAATCAGCCATCTCTTTAAAAATTATATCATTACAATGCAGGTCTTAGAGATGTTTATAGTGAGTCTTAGGACAAGATTCTCCTCTGCTAAAGACTGTTTCATTAATATCCTTGCTATAGGTTTAAAAAATTGTATTCCCTCCTGCACTTTCGGGTTCTGTTTATTTTGCATTCACCCTCTATTTAGTTTCAATATGTTAGGTGTAGTAATTTCCTGGAGATATCTTCTTTAAACATCTTTTCTTTTTAGTAAACTTCATCTCTTAATTCTGTAGTAATCTACTCTATCCACATATCTGTTGTTCAGAGGAGTCTGTGTTGCTTGCCTGTATTCCAAAAAAAGGACCAAGTTAACTGGATTGAAAATACATTTTTATGGTAGGTTCCAAAGGAATAATTTCCTTTCCTTTCTCTTTCTCCTCTTTTCCTAGAAGTCCTTTCGGTGCACCTTTCAACCTCAGTGAAAGATGTGCACCATTGTGTTTCTAAAGGCCTTTGTTCATTCCTCAGCATCTCTTGACTTTGGTTGTCCCTCCCTTTTCAGCCATAGACATACCCAGTCCATATGGTGCAGAGTCAGTGCTAAATTTCATCCCAGATTTTGGCCCTTTATTGGGAGAACGACTTCAAATTATACATTGGGTAAGAGCTAGGAAGAGGAGAAACACAAAAATGGAAATAGAAATAGTCCATAAATCCATTGATTAAAATAGTGTAGTGAAACCTGCAGATAGGGCAATTTTTGATATTCCAGCAGTAGCAAAAACTTACTTAACAGTGTTCAGCTCGTATTTCCATGTAAAAAAAAATGCCCTGAACATGATTACTCTAATGCCTACAACCAATGTAACTGAAAATATTTTAGGAAGGGGAAATTCTTTTTTTTTCCCTTTATGTTCTTGTAATTCTCTTGTAGTCAGCCAACTTCTCCCTTTGCTGAGCAGATCCATGTAAATGTCAACAAGGGAGTCAGAAAAACTTCTGCGAAAACTTCTTAGAGGAACTATTTAAGGTGTGTTCTTGAGGAAACTGAATTTTTTTTTTTCCAAAAATATCAGTTTTGAAAATGCCACTTGAGGTGCTTGAGGTGCTCTAGCCCATGGTATGAAGTACTTCTTTGCTAATTCTAATCAAATGTTGAGGTTGTATCATTTCTGTGGATTAGGGCAGGTTCTGATGTGTCTTGAAGTCGATTATAACACACCTCAGAGGAGGTGCTCTAAGCACTTTTTCCCCACAAATTTTTGTTTGGATGTCTTGGTTAGTGCATCAGACATGCTTTTCTAACCAAAACTTGTTTCTTTAATAGACTGACTTTCAAGTCTTTCCAGAAATATCTTCATGTCTCTACCTATTTATTTCGGACTTTGTTGTTGCTTGTTTCAGGGAATTGACTGTGACCAGCTTTTCTTGGGCTGTTGGAGCAATATTTAAAATCTGGATTGACTTTTTAAAATACGGGTTTCGTATGTAGTTTCAGGAGAAACAAAGTATACTATAGCACACAATATAACCTTTGAGATCTCTAAGTCTTGAGGAGAAAGGCTTTAGACTTGAGAAATTAGGAAGTGGGGAATAGAGGGAGGAAGAAAAATGTTTTGCCAGCAGAGAGGTACTCCCTGGAATGGGAAGATAATGAGATAGCCTTGTGGAAGATTTACAAATGGTGGTTTGTAAGAGGAGGAAGACCCCACCAGGAGATGAGCCTGTCTCTACAAAGATGATAGATCAGTTAAGGCACTACTGTAGCAAATACTTTGTCTTCTGTGAAGACAGAGTGAAAGAGCTGAGGTTGTCAAAGTTGGAGAAGAGAAGGCTTGAGGAGACCTTAACAGCACCTTCTAGTCCCTGAAGTGGGCCTACAGGAAAGCTGGAGAGAGACTTCTTACAAGGGCATGTAGTGACAGGACAAGAGCTAATGGTTTTAAACTGACAGGATAGGTTTGGATTAGTTATAAGGAAAAAGTTCTTTACTGTGAATGTGGTGAGGCACTGAAACAGGTTGCCTGGAGAAGTTGTGGATAATACCCCATCGCTGTAATTCGCCAAGGTTGGGTTGGATGAGGCTTAGAGCAACCTGATCTAGTGGAAGGTGTTCCTGCACGTGGCAGGGGGTAAAAACTAAATGATCTTTAAGGTCCCTTCCAACCCAAACCATTATATGATTCTGATTAACAACGTGTATTTACTAGTTGCTGTAGTTTCCTAAAAGCTGATATTTTTTCTCTTTCAGAAATCACAGCACCAACCCTTTGGATTAAGCACTTGGTCATCAAAGATTCCAAATTGAACAGCTCCAGTATAAGAAATTCAGGTAATGTTCCATCTAAAAAAAACCCCATTTCTTTTAACTAGTCTGTAGTTCCTTACCATCTGTTCTTGTTTCATTCTTTCTTCATGGTAGCTATCATGGTGCTTTTGGGACTTGAAGTCTGATTATAAAATAATTTCAGATAATATCCTTTTCTGTGTCCAGACAGCCATAGTCAATATGTGATGAAGGGTGTTTGTTTCCACAAACCATAACTGGGGAATCTCTACTTTTCTGATCTGTTAATTCATCCCAGACATCTGTCTTATTTTTTCTGTTTGCTGTTCAGCATGGATATACAAACTGATGCATTGGGCTCAAAGATCTGGGCTGTGGCTTTGGTCTAAGCAGTTGCAAAAATACAGAAAGGGGCTTTTTTTCGTAGAAAATTCAAGATTTCAAATTCTTCTCTGCAGGGGATATTTTTGATAGAGAAATGATTGGATAATTTCACAACTGAAAATGGGTTTCTTATGTCTGGGTCCAAGAAAATGTTGAGACTATTTTGTGGATGAGGGAAGACCCAAGTGTAAAAAACAGCAAAGAAAAGATCCTGAATATAAGTGGGAAAATGGGAAGCAGGAAGATGTGAAGTTAGGGTGTAATACTTGAGACTGGAGAGCAGGGTGAAATGGTGGTATGGAGTCATTGAAATCACAGGAAACTGGAGAATCTGATGAGGAAAGTTTTGGATTATTAGTAAGAATAGTTTCTCTCTGATATATATTAACTGAAGTGGGAGAAATTAAGAAATTTAGGGAATAAGAGAACAAAATTGCCCTAAGAAGCCATGGATTTACTTTAAGGTTTGAATAGGAGATGCTACTATTTTGCATATTTTATGAAACAAATATGCCTAGAACTGGCTGGTGGGAATAATTCCAGTTGCCTGAACAGATGGATCATGATATCTTGAAGTGCCCCATCACCTGGTATTTCTGGATTAGCTAGAGAGCATTCATGACAGTTCCTTTGGCCTTCCTGTGCCACCTCCCAGCTGCAGGGTGAAATGGGTGCTAGGTTGGGTGACATTCTCTTGCTGCACTGTGGAGAAGGTCTCTTAGCAGGAGGATGTCCATCATTGTTCAGACCACAGTTTTAACAGGTCTCTTGTGCCTCACTTCCAAACTGTTTTTGTAGCAGGGTGGTCTGTGTAAGATCTGCCAGTAGGAATCATCCAGAAGATTCAGATCATATATGAGTATCAGCATCCTTCTTTAAGGATGTCTTCCAGGGGAAAGCAAATGCAGCTTCTGTGTTGTGAGCCTCTGGCACAACCAACAGCTCACAGTGCAATTGAGAGTGATGGTTTAATATTAAAATCCTATGTAATGAGCCCTACCTATTTTGATGACCAACTTTCCTTCTAATGCAGAAATCCTGGTGGTTGCAATGGAAAGAAGAGTCAGTGCTAAGAGGTTACAAGAAGACTTGGAAGCAGGAGGGTCTTTTATTGGAGACCCTTTCTTGGCCTGATAGAACCAAAGTAGGCTGCCTTTCATGTTGTAAAGGCAATCACTGAGTGTTTAGTCAGGAAGCTGCCTGATGTGAAATGGAATTTTGTCCACAGGAGAGTTCCTTTTGTGAGCTTGTTTTTGTCCCCTTTTTTTTCAATTGTTTCTGATGTCAGTTCTGTTATTCAAACAAAATTATTGCAGATGGATGTTACAAATAAAAAACAAATTATCTTCTGGAAAATTCAAGAATTCTGTGATTTATACAGGAAGCTAAAAGGAGATGTGTGATTCATCTAACCCAGCCTTACTGATTGCCCTGACACTCATTTACTGTAGGATCTCATTAAGAGACTAGATAGCTAATTTTTATGACCCAATTTCCATGTTGGGCCATGCAGATACACAAACATCTCAGTTTCTTACAAATTATTGATATTAAGAAATGCTGCCTCGGACTGTGGATTAGCTAACACTAAGTATGGGTTACTTCGAACTGTTTCTTTCAACTAGTGAAGCCTAGTCCCCTTGTTTGGTATCTCATTCTTTTCATCCCTTGTCATATCTATTGAAAGGCAATATAGGGTAGGTGGGATCAAACAGTAAAGAACTGGGGGGGTTGATTATAATTTAGAATCACATTTTTTCGAATGTCTTCAAGACTGTCTTGGCTGTATATGATGAAACAGCTGTCATGAGATGGGCATGCAAAGTTGGGGGATGTTTTTAGTTGCTTTTGGCCCTTGTCATCTTGAAATATTGATGCTTGGCACGTTTGTGGTTTTTCATTTATTTTTAAAGGGCTAAGATAAGTTTTACTGGCATAAGATTTGGATTTTTGGGTTTAGTGTTGCCTCAGCTATATTGTCTGTCTCGGTTTACAATTATAGTCTTGAAGCAGATATATCCTGGTATCTTCTTGCAGCAGTTTAATGGGATCACTGAAACTGGAGGAGAGAAAAGATCTAATAGGTCATTAATCTACTGCCTTAGGCTAGTGAATGTTTATACTGTACAAAGAGCACCATTTTCTAGTGCAGCTTAAGTTAAGCATAGCCTTAGATAATAAAGATTTTACGTCTTCCCACAGGAAGCTGCTCTGTTCTCTGAACTCAAATTCAGGTTTTTTCTTTTTGTAATATTCAGCCTAACTTTCACTTCCTATTTCTAGGAGTTTATATAGTGAAATGCTTAACCCTGATCTCTCTCCTCCCTGCCCTGGTTAAATGGCACTGGCCTTTGCAGTGAAGAGAAATCCAGATAATACTGTCAGAGGACCTGTTCTCCTCTCTAATTAGCACTTGGAAAGCAAGCACCATCACTATATCAACCATGAGGAGAATTTAAGAATTACTATAGGGAGTCAAGTAGACTCTTTTAGTTTGCTGTCATTGTCTCTGGTCAGTGTTAGGTGAACTACTCACGAGGCAGCTGAGCATTGCAGAGCTGGTAAATACCCCATGTTCCATATGCAGCCTGTATCTCAAGAACTGCATTTGAAATCTGAGTGTTCTACCTTCTGTTTAGTGCTGACGAACAGAAGACGTTCTCCTGAAACTCATCTCTTTTTTTGGAGCATTTACGTCTTGCTTGGCATTTGTAAATCCTAATTAAGCTAAGGATCGGGAAAAGCAGAATGACTCTAGCCTGGTGATTATTAGAGCACTTGACTGAGAATGTGTATGTGTCCAGTGAGTTTTTCTACTCTCAGTAAAACTGCATTGATAGGAGGGATTGCTAGTGCTTGTTACCCCGGCCCACCTTGAAGAATTAAATGACAATTAGATCCCTTTCTCAGTAGGGTAAGATGCAGGTTCAAATCTTCTCAGCCAGAGGCAGGAACCAAAATATGAACATATGGACTATTGAACAGCAGAAAAGTTTTGTTTTGTTCTGTTTTCCATTTACAAACTGTCATTTGTCTGTCGGGGTTTTGTGTGTTTTTTTCTTTTTGCCCAAAGGTCAGTTTTTTGTTTGGGGGCAAGTGAAAGGTATAGATCAACACAATATTACTGTGGCGTGTCATTTTTAACACTACCAGAGTGGGAGGTGATGACCATTCTCTAATCAGCATGGCTGGGAACCGTCTTTTCATTCTTTTCATTCTACTTTTTCTGTTTCAGCCCCCTGCCTCCCTCCCTATTCCAGCCTGCAATAGTCCAAATTATTTTTTTTTACACTTCTTAATCTAGGTAAACACTTTGAAGAAATGTAATGGCTGCTTGTTTAGGAGCACCCCATCTCCACTGAGGAATCCAGGGGTTTTCCTCACTTCCAGAGTTGGGTTATCTCCAAATTCATTTGTGCCGCTTAGTGATTTGGTTTTAGTTAGCAAGAATTTCCAGCCCGCATCCAGCTTACCGTGACAACCTTTAAGAAAACCACAGAGTGATGTAATGAGCCTGTGCATGGAAAAATAAACAGTTCTGGAGAAACCAGCAGTAGCAGCCTCAAGTAAATATTCTGCAGTCACTGAGGTTTTGATAATGACGTTATTTGAAAGGAAGAATGAGTAATATATTAAGGTTAGCAGCTGAAGACAGGTTTGTGTGTGTGTGCCTAGTTTAAAAAAAAAAAGAAAATCTCATAGCTGTTTATTTCAAAATCTTACTTGGTGAATGGGAGCCAATTCCATGAGGCCTATTCTGCTCAGCTCTGGCATCCAGGCATTGTGCAGGCATCTCATGATGGCATTCCAGTGATAGTACTTTCTTCTGTCAGGAGCTCTTAGTGGACAGAGTATAATTGTGAATGAGCTTTGAAAACAGGAATGGCGGTATTCACATTTCTTTTTCTTAATTGAGTCCACTTTGAGTCCAAACTTAGGGGCTTTTCAAAGGGAGAAAAAACTTGAATACTGCATGTCTGTATGTACCCTGCCATCCACCCTATAGGGAGACTCGGTATTGTTGGGGGCAGTTTGTCTCCAGAGATTTGTGAGGTGAAGTGTGATTCTATTAAATGTACTAACAGGATCTGGCATCTCTGGTTTGTCCGTATTCCTGTAAGTTTTTACCTACTTGCAGGGAAAAAAAAAAAAAAAAGGGCAAGAAAACACCCATGGGCACCCCTAAAAAACCTCTCTCTAATACTCAGCTAGGACCATTTTGCTGCATGCCTTTCTTAATGATCAGGGATACTGATTGCCTCTAGGGAGAATATACTCATGGCTATGTTGCCTTAGCCAAATAGAGACTTTCTAGGATACTATACATTAAAAAGGGTCTGGTTTTGGCTATATTGAGTATCAGTGTAGTTCCTCTTGAGTCAGGTGAGCCCAACTAACATATAGCAGGATTTACACATATAGAGCATGCTGATTTGCCCTGGAAAAGGAATATGGCAGGAATATTGGTGGGATACCTCAAAAATAGCCATGTTTGGACAAAAGTTTAATTTGTTATTAGGGCTTTCCTTTACAAAAGTGAGGATAAACCCAATGAGCTTAAACACCTATATTATTTTCCATAATGGGGAGACATTGCACCTATTTGCATTGAATGTATAGTTATTTGAAGTTGGAGCAAATTTCCTCATGCCTTGAAAATG